ACCAGGCTCACATACAAATTTACATGGTGGATCAAGTGTCTAAATTACCGTGAGCAAACAAATAACACGATGAGCTTACTACAAGATGAGGTTTGCTTAGCTGTGGAATTCAAGTTGCTAGTTTGTTCTTATTTGAGACTCATTAGCTAGATTTATCTGCATTCAAATAGATTCTCACTTCAGTGTGTGAACATAGTACCTACCACTTCGAACGCTTAATGTTTTATTAACTGTTTATCTGGTTAGCGTTTTTTCAGCAAGTACGTTTTCTACGAGATGGGGTCTCTAACTTCATACCAAACCCTCCTCCTTTATCCCAGCTTGATACTTGCGGTAACTCTAGAATAGTTGATGTCTTACTTACTGATTATAATTCAGTCAAAATATTAACATCCGGATAATATAAACCATGATAAGTTGAGTTCAAATCCAATTCTAGCAACATTTCATCTATTCTTATCCATATTTTTATATTTAATATCCACTAAAATAGACAATATTGAACGTTTTAATGGATCCTTTAACTAAGTACATTGAAAAATGTTCGAGAACAAAATAATGAGAATGATAGGTGATTCTGTTGATAGAAATTTCTCTACAAAACTGGTCCAACTGATGACTTTACAAAGAAATAACTGTATCAGCAGTATACAAAACATCTTAGAAATGTGATATGTAACACAGATAGATCTAATCTCACTTTTTTGTGTTAAATTAATTGTTAGTGTTATATGCCGACGAGAATTTTGAATGGAAAGTCAGTAGACTAATACGATACATATATTTTGTAACTAAACTATGCATACTCATGTTTATCTTATTGTAAGCTTTATTTTCAACCATAGGTCATTATTATATGATATGCAGTTCGTGAGTTATGCCCGGTCTATTAATTCATTCATTCTCTTCTCTTACGAAAGAAAGCTATATTTCAGCGGTAATCCAAGAGGAAATAAACAAATTGTACGAATGGACTATTTCTTGGAATATGCCACTTAATGTTGACAAAAGTGGATTTATTCGCATTGGTTGCTGTTTCAACTTAAATCTGACTGTACAGACACATACACTCAAACCTCTTAACACTGTTCGTGACCTGGGTTTAAGATATAGCAACAGTCTGAACACATTATATCTTAAGTATCCAAAGGTAGAAAGCTCATCGGGTTGATAATGATAAACTTCAATAATATCGAATCGAGATTGTTACTATACAGAAAATGTATCTTACCCATTCTTGAATACGGTATTTTAGTTTACAGTAATTGTAGACATAATGATCTGATTAGAATTGAAGGTGTTCAAAGAAAGTTCACCAAAGCTATTCTGGGGTATTCCGATAACAAAAACTATTATCAAAGATGTCAACAACTCAACTTAGAACCTCTTTGGATCAGACGTATCAAATTAAATCTTGTCTTTATCTACCGGCTCATTAACGGTATTTCCTACTCATCGGTATCCACCCCTTCATACCTTATAATATTATCCCACAATCTACGCAATAAGGAGAACATTCTAGCGATTCCAAGAACCCACACAAACTTACGTCAGAATTTTTTCCTTATTCGCTACTCAACCATGTGGAACAGATTGCCAGTGAACCTCCGTTGCAGTGAAACTAGAACCCGGTTCAAAAGTCTCCTTGACGATTTTCTTTCCGAAAGTGGATTATGTCACCTATTGAATATTAATGTATTCAATAATGATTTATACAAACAAGGTCCATCATCTATTTAATTGCTTGAAAAGCAAAATAAAAACATAAAATCTTTTCACGTCTATTTTGTTTTATTTCTATTTATCTTAATATATGAAGTCAGCTTATGTTCGTGTTTATCATTATTACCGTTATTAATATCATTATTAGTTCCTCGACACATTAGGTATTCTTTTTATCTCTTCTTATCCTTCTAAACATATTTAACTCCAGATTGTCCTTTGAAATCAACTTTGGCTTTCAAAGCATCATTCCTAATTATTATTGCACAAATATTTGTACTAATATCCGGTTTCACTCTGAATACTATTAAGAAAATGTAAATGTATTCAATTGCTGGTTTCATTTTGGGGTTGGTATTCATTACACAATTATTATTCTTATCATGGATACAACTTTTCACTAAGTGTCCACTTATTTTCTCTCTTCTTTCCCTCTACATAAATATTCGTAAGTTTGCGTCGTTTGTCAATTAGACAATAACTTGTGCTACATTTAACTTGTCAGACTCGTTTCATCTTCACTATGACTCATACGTAGTGATATCTTATTATCCTTTTCACTTTATTGTGACTTTCATAGCATCACTCTAAACTATAACAGCACAAACACTTATTCTAGTGTCATATCTTACTACAATGATAAATTATTTTTTCTTAATTATTTTTTGTTACTAATTTAGCGATACACACATAGTCGTTTATTCTTGTTCTGCGTTTATAAACACGCCTATTACACTGTTTGCGTATTTCACGTCTCCTCTATTTCTGTTTCCTTATTTTCTCCATTTCCTTCTTTAAACTCAATTCAATATTCTTTTTAATTACAAAGACCCGATTTATTATTATTAATATTCTACTATTATTATTCTAATTTTTTTTAAAATATGACTAGTATAATGCTAACATTATTGAAATCCGAATTGGTTTCTTCACAACACTTATGTACCCATAAGATGTTTGTGAATAATAACCTACAGTATCACACATTCACAGACACTTTGGGCTACATCTTTCGCGAATGTGTGTTTTCTGTATTTCATGGTAGAATGTAGGCTGTTTGCTTTGTATGTAAACCCAGTATGTGTGAAATATGTTAATAATATTGCAGAAGCTGAGATTGATGTTCTGGACGCACCAGGCAGGAAGAAGGATCAATAAAGACTCTAGACAGCTCTCACAGGATTCATACGCCCTTGATAGGGTTAATAAGCTGCTGTTCTCTAATTAGCGGTATCATTATGTTGTACATAAAGTAGAGCACAAATTATAACAATTAGTAGTTCAAAAATTACATCTCTTTTAAAGGTAATTATAAGGCATAGTCTTAACTTGACCACTGGGATACTGCCCAGGTTTTATGTTGCCTATGAATAATTGGTTAGACTTTCAAGAAGCAATGTTCCTGTCAACATACTTAAAAAAAGAAATTTCATTTGATGAATAATATATGAGCGTTTAGTCACTCAGCAACGAAACAGAACTTCGTACGTACATACATTAGTTCAAGTTGCCATAACATATTAGCACATAGAAACAATCGTTGATTCAAATCCCATAGTGGTATTAGTAGAAGTATAAGCAGTAGTCGGAAATATGTTACTCAAGGAGTATAATCCAGTGAAGTAGATTTGGGAAGAAAATAAAGAACATGAAAAATTCAGAAGACTAGAATTTGGGAGAACACAAAATCTGGATGCACTTGCGCCATCTCAAACATTTTTGAGCAATGTCATTCATGTTCTTTAACTATCGCTTGCTATCGTCTCGCAAACTTCAATCAGGTAGTCTACACCTACCAACATGGCTCAGTCCATTGTCAGTGACTTCATGGATTTGTGCCATGTTTTGGTCAGGCCGCACCCAGCATTCTTCCAACCTACTTGTACACCAGAATAAACATCCCTCGTCGGGGAAGTCACTGGTCGGGCATATGTAACACATGTCCCAGCCATCTCGAGTGATGAAGTTTCGATACTTCACCATTTCATTTACCATCCTCACCTTGTAACGGTATTCTAACAAATGCATTACGTATTCAGTGGTCCCAGGATATTTGAGCAATGCTTCGAAGACACCTATGATCAAATACCTACAAATATCCTCTACCCTTACCGGCAATCTTTCACTGCCATAAGGTAGGACGGAACAGAACTGGTTCACTGTAAACTCGTCCATTGGATGGTAGACGGATATCTCGCCTACGCCATAAGTGACACAAGTTTTGAACAGCTAGTCGAGTCTTCTGTATCCGTGCTGAGCTTTCGACACAAATCAGACCGCAAGGACTGATGATACCTTCAAGATAAGTGAAGCGATCGACACGCACAACTACTTCTCTCTCTATCATTTGTTCGGGTATCGGATCTAAACAACAACACATCACAAAAATACATACATAACTGATAGTATACACAATAAGTACTATTCAGTTGACTGATAGATTATATTTAAAAGCAATAAAATTAAACATAGATGCTATCACACACATAGAGAGGAGGGTAAAAATAAGTGGTTAAACATACCCTTTAACAGCAGCATTTTGAATTTATTCATTGTACAAATCCATAGTTCGTCATCAGAAACGCATATCAGTTCATGTCACAACCACATATCAATACAGTGAAATGAAATGATCAGCACAAATACTAGAGTACTAGAAGTGTTACTATACATCACCAATGATAATAGAACATATTCATCATTATAAACAAACTGCTTCATTATGATGGATTATCCATAGTAGTATCCAACCCTATATTCATCAAGCTAACCACAAACAAACGGTAAAATATAATACTACAATAAGCATCCATTCGTCAAATACAAAATACGAAGTCAAAAGAAAAATACACAAGATCTATTGAAAAATGTTTTTATATACATAGATAGAGAGATAGATGCTACTTACAATATGTTAGTAATATATAACACAAATTTACACGAAGAAGGTTGTTAGCTTTCCTATCTTCTTTCATATATATATCAACACATACATTGGTAATAAAGAGGCACTAACGCCATGCAAATGACATGATTGGTGTAAAGGCCTACAAAACCATTTTGATACATAAACCGACGAAAGTGTTTTGGTTTACTTCCACCACAGTTTTCACATAAGTCATATTAACATGTAATTATTTCATAAAGGTTCATGAATGATGAAAAATTTGGAAACACATTTACATTATAAACATAATGAAAACTGATTGGAAACTTAAAGGAAAGAAAGAAAAAAAGAAAAGAGAAGAAAGAGGTGGGAAGAGACAGAGAGAATAGAATTATTGGAATAAATTACGACGAGGATGTAATCGACGATGACATGATTGATTATGTAATGTTGATTGTTGTATAGTTGGTACTATGAATTTGGAAGGGAATAAATTATGATGATTTTTAGATAAATATGTATAAGAATGATGATGATGATAATTAGTATCAATAGATGATTGTATATTATATTGTAATTGATGTAATACTGGTGATAATGGTATATCTAATGAATTCTCATCCCATAAATGACGTGAATTATTATTATTATTAGGATTATCATATGATAATGGAATATTATGAGATTTTGATGATGATGATGATGATGATGATAACGATAATGAAGATGATGGTGCTAAATTCAAAGGATTAGGAGAAATATTCTCCAAGTTCTCATGAATATCTTTAAATAATAATTTAGGAATGGGTGTACTATAAAATGGTTCATCAATTCCACCAAATAATTGCTTACGTAAAGCAATACAAATTAAATTGCTTTGACCAGTGTGAATTGTTGTTGTATTACCGATAGAATCACTAAAATTATAAATAAATTAAACATAGATTATGAAGAAGTGGATAAACAATGATAGTAGTTCTTTATTTGGATGGGTGAGTGGGTGGTTGATGTGGTGGGGAACGGGTGGAGAGAAGGAAGGAAGGAAGGAAGGAGAGAAGATAGTATCTCGCTCTATTCAACGTCTGTACTTGTTTAATTCTATGAATCATAATTTTTTGTTGAAAATATCTAAATCACTGTGGGCTTGCTTGAATATCTCAGCTACCTGTTTCTGATATCAGCATATCACAAGTTACCTGTCGTTTGATTGTTACATATGTCTGAACACTGATTACAACGATGTACAATTCTGTCTAGTGTAGAGGATGGCTGAAAGAAAGTTAGCGGTTGATGGACAAATCAAAACGTGGCTTCAGTCCTTGAGGTTATTAACAACTAATTTGAGCAATGTTTGTAGATTCAGACTACTTGGTTTGGGTCTGTTCGACTATCGTGAGTAATCGTTGCAGATTGTGTGTGACATGACTCAGAATCGATCACAATCGTGTAGATGTATACACCATGTCTTCCCTCAAACTATGAGATTAAAATTGTCTTATAGATCTATTATAGATCTATCTACCAACTAATTCGTTCTTCCTCTACTATGTTCTCATATGCAATCCACCATTGAATTAACTACTGCTATGAATTCGGTGTACATTTTGTTTTGCTAATGAAATATGGCAGCTTGGACCGATGCACATATGTTCCTTGTCCTACGCTTACACAAAAACACAGTAAACCTCCTCGAAGCTTTGCTAAAGATTTTGGACAATACATAATAATATATCTTCAACAAGTTCTTTAACAAGACAATATACTTTATGTCAATTACAGAATCTTTAGACAAGAAATAAACTACTGAAAACAATAAGATCAAAAATGTGTATCTCCATAGGTAGTACAATATGTGTTAGGGTTGAACAGGAGTAGTTATAATGGAAATTCACGACAGATAACACATCGTTTTTTGGGTGAAAACAAATCAAATGGATCATCTCAATTTTGATCACATTATAAACAGTTATCATTATACATACGACATATGAAAGAGAATTATAAATGAAATAAAATATCAACAAAAAATACGACTTTTAGTATAAAGATACGATGGAAAAGTTAAATATTCATTCAACTTCCGAAGCATTTGAGAATTATTTGGAAAAGTTTGAAATCTGGAGCACGACTAAGATATATGTTAAAATTGATAAAATCGTGTCATATTTCCTGACATTCATTGAGAGAGAAGTGTACAGATCATTAAAAACTTTGGCATATCCAGAAAAACCTATCTCACCTTCTTATGCAACTCTGTATTCTAGATATCAATGACCTAAGTACACACAATCGATATGTGGATCATGTACAATTCCAGGAACCAGGTAAGTCTTTTCCAATTTCGAATGTTAATTCTAATGCCAATGAGTACATTCTAGATAGTATAGAGTCCTTATCCAATACACAGTCCGACAGACGTAGGATGAACTTGAGAAGACGTAGAATTGATTACAGACACCTAGACTCCAATTTAAGCTGTGACGGATGTGGTATATTAATGAACTTCTGATTCCTTTGTACATGTTGCACGCTTGATTTATAATTCTAAATACGGTACATTCGTTTGTGCTTGTCTAGCACTTTTTTATTCGATTGCGTTATTTCGGTGATTCTTAATTCGTAATATAATTCAAATAATTTGAAACATAATTTGGAACCAATGATATTTCTTACCTAAGTGCAATTGAAGGACGAGTGAATAAATGGAATGGAGCAAATGTTGATTGATGAATAGTTTATAAATACAGATGATTTAGAATTATTGATCATATTAGACTGATTTTGATCACTAATTCTAATGGTATTAACAGAAGTAGTATTAACAGTGGAAGTGATGGTATTCATTTCTGTTACTGTTAGCAGCGGTATTGACTGAACCTACAGAAATGCAGTTGAAAGTTAGATGAGTATTAGTGGAACCGCCGTAGTAGTTGCAGCAGCTACAGTGTTCAAACGAAATACAGAAGGTTGTGTTGGTGTATCGAATGAAGATATTTTTCAACGTTTTCTATACATCAAAAATTTCATTCATATTCCGAAGTGATTTTAAATAGCCTTAAATGTAGTTATTTTCTATATAAAGCTCAACTACGAGACCAACAGTCAGGATTCCGTACGGATAGATCGTGTACAAACCAAATTGCAACTTTATGGATCATCGTGGAACAAACAAATGAATGTGATTCATCACTCTACATCAACTTCGTTGATCGCGAAAAAGCATTTGATAGCGTGGACAGAACAACATGATGGAAGCTTCTTCGATACTACGGCGTGCCTCAGAAGATAGTCAATATCATACGAAATTTCTGTGATGCATTACACAGCAAAATCGTGCATGTAGGACAGTTGACAAAGTCGTTCTAAGTAAAGACCAGTGTCAGGCAAGTTTGCTTACTCTCACCCTTTCTCTTTCTCCTGTTGATCGACTGGATCATGAAGACGTAAACATCTGAAGGGAAGCATGGGATACAGTGAACATTCAGGATGCAGTTAAACGATTTGGACTTCGTAGATGATCTGGCTCTTCTATTGCAAACGCTACAAGAAATGCAGGGGAGTGAGACCATTGAAGCATCAGCTTCAGCAGCTGTAGGTATCAAAATGCACAAAAGGAAAAGCAAGAATCTCCCACAAAACAATCACAGTATTCACCAATCCAATCATATTCGACGTAGAAGATTTGTAAGATGTGAAAACTTTTAAATATCTGTTCGGCATCAATGATGAGCACAGAGGATCCGATGCAGATGTGAAGGCGCAGACTAGCAATGCAAGAGCAGTATATTTACAAGTGAAGAACATTTGGAACTAAAAATAACTCTTTGTCAACTGCTAACACCAAACTCAGAATTTTCAATACTAATGTCAAAACAGTTCTACAGTGCGGGATGAAAACTTGGAGAACTAAGAAAGCCATCATCCAGAAGGTAAAAGTGTTTATTGACAGTTGTATGGCAAAATACTTCAGATCCTTTGGCCAGACATTATCAGCAACAACCTACTGTGGTCGAGAACAAACCAGATTTGAATGGAGGAGAAAATCAAGAAGAAGCGCTGGAGTTGGATAGGACTCACATTGAAGAAAGCATTAAACAGCTAAACATTCCCCTCATGCAGTAAGCTCATCGTGTTATTTGTTTGCTCGCGGTAATTTAGACACTTGATCCACCATGTAAATTTGTATGTGAGCCTGGTTGGGCACATGTCTGCCCGAACATCAACAATTCTCAATCTATTCTCTCATTCGTTGCAACACACAGATAATAAATAAGTTAACCTCGATCGATTCATACTCATAAATTCATATGGATTTTTTGTCACTCACTCACACACACACACACTGATTTCCCTGCGCACTTGTTTCCTGGATGATTGTGAATTTTACTAATCATCGATAATAAACTATTTATATAACTGATGATCGTGCTTTTGAATAATCTCGAGTAAATCCATCATTCAAATATGAGATTTAGCTTGCGTTAAATACTCAGTTAAATGGGATACTATTTTTATTGGAGTCAGATATAAAGGAAACTAATGTGAACAAAGTTGGTTAACTGCATTTACAACATACACGCATTTCTCTACAAATTGTGCTGCATACTCTCCAATCCCATGATGAACAACTTCACTCATAACATGGTTTTTTTGTAATTATTGTTGTTTATTCACATAATTAGACCCATGGTGATTATTATTATTACTTATTATTTGAACACATGAATATTGGTACAAAAGTGCCCCAAATATATATGCGCCACACAAAGCAATGAGAATTTGATACGAAAGAAAAAACGGTAATGAGAGTGAAAAATAGAGAACAATAACGAAGAGATTGGTTTAAGGTAGTGTAATGACAATAATAGTAGGAATGGGGAATGGATAGGTACAATCAGAAGAAATCTTTCAGTTAAGGAAGATAAAACCACTTTTTACGAAGAAAGTAAAAGAAGGTTACAGCAGGCTCGCCGCTAGCTTCTATTCTGAGACATCTGATAACTTACCTAGCTATTGTGTAGCACCATCTCTCGGAGCCCAACCAGGGAGTCGTAAAAGACCAACACAAGCTAACCATTTGCAGCTTTCTTTCATACCACGACGCCATGTCCAATACTGACCACTTCTCTGCTTCTTACAACCAGTTCCAGCGTTCACAAGTAATGCACGACGTGGAATTTTCAGGGACGACATTTGTAGAACATGTCCGAGCTACCGAAGTCGATGTCTCAAGACGGGGACACTGATCGCATTATCGTCTCTGTGCCCGAACACACGATGCCGAACCTCTGTTTTACTTACTTGGTGTTTACATTGAATGTCAGAGGGAGGACGCCATGTGGCACATCGGCGATGACTGTGCCGAAATTTAGTGCTAGCCAGAAACAGGTTGTGGTCTATGCACAGTTGCAGTAGACGGTCCACGTTATCTGACCTGCGACCAACAAGTCCCCATTGGCCACCTAAACGACTCTCTTCTGTGCCTAGACGCCCGACTTGAGCATTCAAGTCTCCGGCTAGTACTACAATATCTGTCGAACGCACTTTCTGGAGAAGAATAGATAACTGGTGATAAAACACACCCTTGGTTGCATCCGGGCTGCAATCAGTTGCGGCATAGGCGGAAATGACGAAAAGACATCGTTTCTCACGCCGATTTCTTCTCACTTTGATGGAACTCTCTAATCTAAGAGCACATAACCGACTGTTAATGGGGATCCAATCGATTAATGCTGCCTCAGCTACTGCGCTTAGTGCGACACCAACGCCAGCAAGACCAGACGAAGATGCCACAGGGTCTCCGGATAAGTCCACGTAAAACAAGCTTTTTGAAGTGACAGACGGAGAGCGAATTTGTAGTACTTCACCAGAGTCTTGAATACAGGTCTCGGATAGACATCAAACGTCGATATTAAGAATTTCCAAAGACATAGACAGCTCTATCTGTTGTTCAACGTGCTTAAGTGTGTGAACGTTGAAAGCAACCAGCTTTAATGGTGCACGAGGTTTCGGAAAAACTGCTTCTGTAAACATATTTGGTGGTAACATACAATTTACAACCGGACAGTGACTCGAGAACGTTTAGATAGAGTCGAATTTCTACCGTAGCGAGCTGACTTATAAGTCAAAAAATTAAGTATAGACAGAGTAGGAATAAAGGAGGGTGAATAATTACGTAGTGGATAAAACAAATAATAATAATAATGGTAATAATAATAATAATGCGAGTTACTTGATTGTCTAATAACCTTCGTTAATTTTATTCTTTTGTTTCAATTCTCTTGCAAATGTTTTTACTTTTTTATTATTTTTTCATCTTCTGATATTCAACACTTACATATCCTCATTGATTTTAACATATTTCTTCATTTTATCTACAAATTGATCGATGAGCAAGTTTTTGGTGGAGTTTTGTTCTCTGAGCTGGATGGTTTGGTCGTGGAGCTTTCATCATTCTTCTGAACGACATCATCAGCACGAACTTCAGATAGAAGTGAAGTGTTTGAATTTCTCCATATGTGTCTCAAAGCTTGTTCTGTGCACGTCGATGTTGATTGGTTCTTATAGACCTTAAATTTGTCATTGTTTACTTCTTTCCTTTGGTTGTGTATCCCATTGTTTTGATTTTTGTTCTTATGTTTGTGCATGATTTTTCTGATTGGTTGATAAATTGGATTGATTTCAATATGCTTGTTGATTGCTGATTGACCTGAGTGCCAAGCTCAGGTCAACTCAGTGATCACTCAATCGTGAATATATTTCAGTTCTACAGGAGGTCAATTGCAGTCCGGATAGCATCTCTGACTGTGAAACTGATTGACACGGGACCGAATCCGTCATGGAGAAGCAGCTTCCTCAAGATTACAGATACATCTTGCTGATGAATGAACTCGGGTATATGGTTACCTGCTGACTACCTACAACCACCATCTTCTTTGTTTTGTCATATTGAGCGATTACTAAATTACTTGTTTATTTCAGTACGTTCACATAACCTCTTAATTATTATTTCCTAAAATATAAATTCACGTATTTCTTGACCATATTCATTCATACAGTTTATATCCCTATTCATTTGATTACTATGACATACTCAGCTGATGAGTCCCAAATAGGACGAAACCCTCGTCTTGATTCCCATCGTTACCGACCATCATCTCTGCTTATTATGATTTTGATTAAATCTCGATTTTGTTTTCTATTAACCCTTATAATAGATTGTTGGTTTAATTCCCTGTTTTTTACTTTTTTCACTTAGAAGTTACTTCACAGAAGATAAACAATTGCTTCATTCAAATTCAGTTGCTAAACATTTATCATTGATTAATCGAAATTGTTTACGTGATACGAAGTGTTTCGTTTCACTGATAAAAATTCCTGAAGAAAGTTATAAAGAAATCGACGAAACTAATATGAGTAAAAGAATAAATCCTAATAATCTATGTATTACATCATCATTATCTGTAATGAATCCATATAAATATGATTATGTACAAATTACATATCCAGCTGATAGATTGAAATTATCAAACTTACAAATTATTGTTAAACATGAGGAGGTTAGTTGAAATGGATGATCTTCTTCATTAAACATATATTATAGTATCGGCCAGTCAGCTACAACGTAGGGCCAGGCACAGATATGCATCGATACAAGTTTCCATACCTCATTAACACAAGATGAACACCGAATTCATAGAGGTAGTTACTTCAATGGTAGTAATATATAAAAGAAAGTTTGCATGTGAGAATACAGTACTGGAAGAAAGAATTAGTACGTAGAAAGAAAGATATAAAGCAATTTCAATTTCATAGTTTAAGGAAAGACAGAATGCGTATACACCGACACCATTGTCATCGATTCTTAGCCACCATATGCTCCAGAGTCTCGAACCATTGGTTACGGTAATCACGTGGACTCGGACCAAGTAAATTGCATTTTCCAACATGGCTTAGACTAAAAGTTAGTGACTTTGTGGACTGATGTCACGTCTTGGTTTGGCCGCTCCTAACTTTCTTCCAATCATCTCCAAAACCGGTTAGCATTGCGCGTCGTGGTAATCGGTGTTCAGGCATACGTAACACGTGGCCTAAACATCTCAGTCGATGAAGATTCACAACTTCATCAAATGATTTACCATTATTCCCTAATACCCTGGGAATAACCTGACTATTACTTACGCAGTGATCCCAGCGATGCGAGCAATATTATCAATGTATCTGTGGTCAAATACTAATAGCTTATGAGTATGTTCAACTCTTAATGGCGGCGTTTCGCAGCCGTAAATTTGAACGGAATGAACTGCCGCTCAGTATAGTCATTACTTTATTGATATACGGATATTTTGCATTCGCCAAAGGTGACGTAAGTCGGTAAAAGTCAAACGAGGTTTCGTAATCCTTGCAAAGATTTCTTCAGATACCAACCCATCAGCGCTGATCAGACTCGTCGACTCGTTCAACTACTTCACTTCCTATCCTTAGTTTAGGTGTTGACGCAAGACAGTGTAAAATAAATTTGAAGGTTTGGTTTCAAACCATGATAGACTTGAAAATCATTGAAAACGAGATGGGCTGATAGACCTGTTTCGTTATAACATGGAACTCATCAGAATCAATTACTCGCAACCATACTGATCAAATGAGCCCATGCTCCTCACGCTCCATTGCTGGTGTTTCACAGTTTAGACCACTAACCTTGGATTCAATATCCTTAATTCAGATAATTTCTCTCATAACATGGTTGAACTTCATCAGTCAAAACTCGCTAGAACTTTCGAACTCTGCAAACTTCCACGACACTATAAGGAATATAATCTTCAAAGATACTTAAATTGTACAGTGAGCATTTCGTGCCTATAGGTAACTCTCGTGCTATTGATAGAAGAAACCAGAGAAGTGGTGAATAGGTCTTTATTTGGATCTTCGCGCAGTCACAGTGGAGCGTGGGATTATCTGTTCAGGCAAACAAGAGGCTTTCAACATTCAATATAAGATAATACGGAATATAATGCCTATACAAAATAAGGAAGTGAATGAGTACTTGAACAATACTGTTTTGGCATATGCTTGGTTGTTTGGGATCAACTCTTAACCAACCAACCTATGCTGCTACAAGCACAAGATCAATCCGTTTTAGAATTGGAACTCCATGACTTATGGTTTTCACGTTAGCAGCATAGTGAGTTACAAACAAATTTATGTACAGAATGTTATAAAAAGATCTGAACAACTTTAAAAACACTGAAGTTAGTAGGATATTATACTTACAGTCCATTCTTCGATAAAGCAAGCTGACAAATACGTTTTATTTCTAAAATCTTACAAACATCAGGTGGCAAATGATGATTGTATTAGATTAATTACGTCTTCTCCTCTCAGTGGAGCATAGGCCACCAGAAGCCACTCTAGGGATACTGACAGTCCAAAGTTTTGATAAAGGAAGGATGTTTGGGATGGGGTTAGCGACCTTACCCCGTATTAAACTAACTCCTATAAAAAACGCTGACGAGAAAAAATAATTCTCTTGTATTATCTTATCTCCTATAAAGGTTCGAAAAACTTTTACTGGTTAGCGTTTTTTAGGGAGTTAGTTTTCTGCGGGATGAGGACGATAACCTCATGCCCAACACTCCTCCTTTATCCGGGTTTGAGACCGGCAGAAGCCCCGAAGGGACTCCAGGCGGACAACAACCTGAGCGACCATTTATTTAGGTACATGGAATGTGGGACACCGGGAGAGCCCTCCGAATCGCTGCAGAAATGAGGAGATACAACCTAGAGTTGCTTGGGATCAGTGAAAAACATTGGACGCAAGTTGAACAACAACAACTAACTTCAAGAAAGCTTCTGTTATACTCCGGCCATGGTGAAGAAAATGCCTCATACACACAAGGAGTTGAACTGATGCTGTCCAAACGAGAGGAGCTCATATAGCATCAGATCATCACCTGCTGGTCGCCAAGATGAAATTGAAACTCAAGAAGCACTGGACAACGAGGCGGACAATATCACAAACTTTCAATACGGCCTTTCTTCAGGATACTAACAAACTCAGCAAATTCAAGATAGACCTCAGCAACAAGTTCCAGGCCTTTCATGATCTACTCAATGGAGAAGGAACTACTGTGGAGAGCAACTGGGAGGGGATCAAAGAGGCAATCACTTCAACATGTCATGAGGTCCTGGGTCACAAGAAGCATCATCACAAGGAATGGATCACTGTTGATACACTGGATAAGATTCAAGAAAGGAGAAACAAGAAGGCAGCAATCAATACCAGTCGAACAAGAGCAGAAAAAGCCAAGGCAAAAGCTGAATACACAGTAGTAAACAAACAAGTGAAGAAGAGCATTAGAACCGACAAACGTAAATATGTGGAAGATCTAGCAAAGACGGCGGAAAAGGCTGCAAGAGAAGGGAACATGACACAACTGTACGACATAACAAAGAAACCCTCTGGAAATCGCCGCAAGCCAGAACGACTAGTGGAAAGCAAGGAAGGAGAGGTAATCACCAACATTGAAGAGCAACAAAACAGGTGGGTAGAACACTTCAAAGAACTCTTGAATCGACCAGCTCCACTGAAACCACTCAATATCGAAGCAGCACCCGCGGACCTCCCAATCAACGTCGGCCCACCAACAATTGAAGAAATCAGCATGGCCATCAGACAAATCAAGAGTGGCAAAGCAGCAGGACCGGACAACATTCCAGCAGATGCACTACAAGCAGACGTAGCGGCAACTGCAAGGATACTCCACATTCTCTTCAATAAGATTTGGGATGAGAAACAAGTACCAAAAGACTGGAAAGAAGGACTTCTGATCAAAATACCGAAGAAAGGCGATCTCAGCAAGTGTGATAACTACAAAGGCATCACTCTTCTTTCAATATCGGGAAAAGTCTTCAACAGAGTATTGTTAAATAAGATGAAGGACTGCGTAGACGTCCAACTTCGTGACCAACAGGCAGGAATCCGTAAGGATAGATCGTGTACAAACCAAATCGTAACTCTACGGATCATTGTGGAACAATCAACAGAATAAAATTTATCACTCTACATCAACTTCATTGACTACGAAAAGGCATTTGATAGCATGGACAGAACAACACTATGGAAACTTCTTCGACAATGCGGCATGCCTCAGAAGATAGTCAATATCATACAGATTTTATGTGATGGATTAAACTGCAAAATCGTGCATGGAGGACAGTCGACAAAGTCGGTCAAAATAAAAACCGGTTTTAAGAAAAGGTTGTTTACGGTCATCCGTTCTCTTTCTCCTGGTGATCGATTGGATCATGAAGACGTCAACATCTGAAGGAAAGCACGGGATACAATGGACATTTAGGATGCAGTTGGACGATCTAGACCTTGCAGATGATCTGGCCCTTCTATCCCAAACGCAACAACAAATGCAGGAGAAGACGACCAGTGTGGCAGCAGCCTCAACAGCAGTAGGTCTCAATATACACAAAGGGAGGAGCAAGGTTCTCCCATACAACACAGTATGCACCAATCCAATCACAATTGACAGAGAAGATTTGGAAGATGTAAAAACCTTTACATATCTGGGCAGTATCATTGATGAACATGACGGATCTGATGCAGGTGTGAAGGCGCGGATCGGTAAAGTAAGAGCAGCATATTTACAACTGAAGAACATCCGGATCTCAAAGCAACTGTCAATCAACATCAAGATCAGGATTTTCAATACAAATGTCAACACAGTACTACTGTATGGGGCAGAAACCTGGAGAACTGTAAAATCTATCATCCAGAATATACAAGTGTTTATTAACAGTTGTCTACGCAAAATACTTCGGATCCGTTTGCCGGACACTATTAGGAACAACCTACTGTGGGAAAGAATAAACCAGATCCCAGCGGAGGCAGGAATCTGGAAGAAGCGCTCGAAGTGGATATGACACACATTGAGGAAATCACCCAACTGCGTCACAAGACAAGCCCCTTATGGAAACCTCAAGTCGAAATGAGGAGAGGAAGAACAAAGAACACATGATGCCGGGAAATGGAGATAGACATGAGAAAAATGAAAAAGAATTGGATGGAATTAGGAAGGAATGCCCAGGACAGAGTGGGTTGGAGAATGTTGGTCTGCGGCCTATGCTCCATTAGGAGTAACAGACGTAAGTAAGTAAGTAAGTAATGTCAATTAATTCCAGGATGCATGACGCTGTTGACGTTTTTGCCACTCGCTCTGATCAGAACAACTGAATGAATCCAGATAATTGTGTGCTTGCCATTGAATGAGCCATCTAAAATGACCTTATGATTGCAGAAAACTTAAAGCTGAAACTCACCGTACGTTTTAGTAGTGTCATCCTTGTTGTTTGGCAATGGAACTCAAAAATATGAAATAAGACAGTCAGTGGTCGGAAGAAAGGATATTACAGGATAGTGCACAGTTTAAAACAGGATGAGGTGTTCAGTAAAGGAACACTGAGAATTACATCCACATAACTATTTAGTCCTTGATTGCATTGTTAGCCGATGTATATTTACGCTATTTACAGGTCATATTTGCTAGAGCTTGATGTTTAA